TAAAGTCTGAGTAAAAAAACATGTGGCTGCTTGCGTTCACACATGCCGCTCGCCCCGAAAAACTTCAGGAGTTTTGTGCCAGTGTGAAAGCACCATAAGGATGGGAAACAACCACGATATAGATAAGGTCTTTCTGCAAAAACACATCCAGAGACTACAGGGCTGCAGCAGATCCAAAAGAGAAGCTTCAAGTGGCAACTGTAAAGTTTCATTTTGAAAAAAAACAAAGAGCACAATCCTGGCAGTCAATACCTGATCACCTGAAGCTTAATGCAAACTTCACCACTTTTCAGAGAGCCACCAAATCCTGGTTAGTTCAGAACAGACTTGTTTGTAGCGATGTCACAGCTTAATGTGCGTCTTATTGTTTCTCACTGTACCCAGTTTACCCTTTTTTTTTTAAAATCCTTTTTAACTGTTTTGATCTTTAATCTACACAAAAGCACTTCTCAAGCCGAGTGTTGCAAATTAGTATCCGCTATAAACACTATGATACTGTTTTCAGTTTGTCTGTGTATATCATATCTGTCCCTATCAAATAAAACGTTAATTAATAAAACAATTTAAATTATACAATCTGTAATTTTATTGATTGATAGTTCAAAAAATTATTATTTTCAATACTATCGATGCTACTTAAGATTGAAAAAATACTGCACTATTTTCAATCAGATTTTAAAACCGCTATGAGAGAAAGAGAGAGCACACTGTCTAAATGACACATTCCAATACATCTGCAGCGTTTTGGTACTGAAATATTTGCAATTTAGACACATTGTGAAGGACTTTCTCTGCATTGTTGGTCGTTAAAAACAAGAAGTTAGCCAACATTGAGCACCTAAGACTTCTATTTTTGTTGCCATGTTAACAGAAGAGGAATCAATACAGTTTGATTTTCTTTTACTTGAATTGAATCAAAGTTTAAAAATCTAGTATTGTGACTTAAAATATGAACTGAAGAAAAAAGAAGTGATACATATAACTGTCTCTCATTACAAATCATTCATTTTGAAAATATGCATACAGATTTTTTTCCTGTACTCAGGATGATGAACAGAAAATGCTGCAAAAGCTTCAAACAAACCTTTTTCTTTAGCAAGAGGTATTTCCTATTTGAATATTTATTTTTTTCTGTGGCATATCCAGAGTAACTGAGACATTGTTTCTGCAAACAATAGCTTCTTGTGAATTTAAAAAAACACTTTGGCTAACGCTTTGATGAACAAAAACAGACTTCTATTGAAGCAGGAGCCGAAACCTCAGCGATGGGTTTTTATTTATGTTGTACGTCGAGCAGCAAATATGAAGGAATAGTCTTTTTGGGGGAGGAGGTTAACTGACCCTGAAGGATCTTAGCTGCATTACTGTTTGTGGAATAAATAACACATAAGAAAATAAATGGTGTTAAAGATGCTGATCAAGCTACAAGAGGAAGAAGGATGGAGAGGAAGGAGGAGTGTTTAGCTGCTGGTTGAAAGACTACAGAGCAGAGCGGAGCAGAGAGAGAGTGAATGGAGATAGAGACAGAGGATGGAGGGGAGGTGGGAGGAGTAGGGAGGAGGAGGGGGGGTGCAACAAGATGGAGAGAGACTGCCTGCACATACTGTCAAGGCAGTTAATATAAGGTGTGGAGATAAGGCCCCACAGACAAACATTGACCAAATCAGGCATTTCAGCAGCGCAGCCCCAACTGTCAGTCAGCCTGAGAGACAGACCAACAATCAGCACTCTACCTCTGATAAGGGCTCTACTGAGCGCGTGCAGGAAATAGCCAATCTGCAGCCAGCCCTGGCAAGAGGAGGGTGATGGCGGGGGGGCGGGGGGAGGGGAGGGTGTGATGATGGAGAGGGAGCGAGGTGAGAGGAAGGAGGACAACAAGTGAGGGGAAAGTGGCCTATAAATTTAGAGAGAAATGTGTGGAAGAGTTCAGAGGAGAGGATAATACCTGAGGGGAACGAAAAGAAAGAAAACAGGATGATATCCCTCCACCCGAGTGCTCTCACAGACAGACATACAGTGATGAGGGTTTTTTTTTTTTTTGGTTTTTTTTAAAGAGAGGTGTGATATCGGCGCCTAAAATAGTGTCTCTCCCCAGGTTTTTGTCACCTGGGAACAGCTTGCAGGGAGAGAGTGTGAGAACTTGGTTTAGACCAACACCTTGCATTAATGATTTGCCAACAGCTTTGACTAGCTCATTATTCAACGCGCCTCGCACACAATAGCATCATTCCATCGTCTCTATTGATTAATGGTGCGTGGAGTGTGTACATGCGCGCACACATCCACATGAGTGAAGGATAACACCGCCTTTTTTTTTTGTCCTTTTAAATGGAGGAGTCTACACTTGCTATGAAATTCCCTCATAACAAAATAAACACATCCAAAAAAAAAACCCTGCAGGAGTGGATGCCTATGGAACGACCGAGGGCCCGTATACTCAAAAGCTTGGACCCCACAGTGGCCCCTAAAGGTCGCAGGAGGAACTGCAGTCTGGGCTGCTGCAAGTTTGCAAGGAATAAATTCCCAGCTGTTTAGCTTTGTCAAACACGTTTAAGGTTCCCTCCAAGCAAAACAGCAGCGAGCACCAACAGCTGGCAAGTGTTTATTTTGGGAAGTGGTGTCGGGGGGGGGGGTGTCTTAGCTTTCCTTTCCTTTCCGCCATTAGCCGAGACCACTGATAACAGTAGGAATCGAGCTAATCACAGAGGGTTTGTATTCCCATTTGTGTTTGCATGCACCGCAGGGGGGGAGGGAGGGAAGATGCAGGAAAACAAGGCGAGGGTGTCGTACAGAGAGAACCCAGCGAAAGGGTTAAGTTCCCTCCCCTGGTTGCATGCTGCTTTCCCTTGCTCTGTCAAGCCCCATTAAACCTGCTACACCACAGCAATAAGGTGCCATCAATTACAGGCACGCTGCCATCAATGCAGAGCGCGGAGGAGAGAGGCGAGGAGAGGCAGGCGCACATAAACAGGACAAACGGCCACATAAAAGACCTGCAGCTACATAAAGCCCTGCGGCCTGCCTCACAGACACACGGCTCTGTCTGTCTGTCTGTCTGTCTGTCTCTCTCTGCAGGTTCATGGTCTGTGTGTTTATGAATGAGAGCATGCTTTGTTTCAAATATGCATTCGTTTCAGACTCACTTTCATTCATGATAGTATGCAGATTTACAAAAAAAGGCAAAAAAAAAAAAAGAAAATTGGGCCTCCTTGGTGGATTTCCTGTGTGTCTCTACTGCCCCCTTGTGGTACATGGAGAGAAATGCAGAACAAACAAAGCACGAGCTTCAATATTCAAACTTTTACAGCTTTTTAACAGCCACATTCCCTCTCTTTTCTAAAATTCCCCCGACCCCCCTCGCTAAAAAAAAAAAAAAAAAAAATCAGCATGACAGCATATTTAATCAAAGAGTTAGAAGCCTAAAGAAATCTGTTTTTTTTGTCACATTCTTCAAGGTTCTTCCCTGTATTGTAAGCATTCAACAGGAGAAAGACGGTACAGCCGAACTCTTCCAAGCGCCACACAAAAGAGGACACAAAGACAACCACTGAACAGAGACCCACGAAGGTGACTTCTTTGCCACCAGCCAAGAAGAGAAAAGGAGCGCCTCTTTCTTCGCCTTTCGCTGTTGTGTTAAAAAATGCCAGAAAGATAAAACCTTTCGTTGTAAAAAAAGAAAAAGAAAAAGAAATGACAACAAATACAAAAACCCCTGACATTTTGTGACTGCACTTATTAAGCACTCCCTGAGTTTCATGCACCTAAGTGTGTTGTCGTTATTGTGTCTCCCTCTGAATGTTCGGCCTTCACTCACACACACGTCTTGTTCGCACATTCAGTTGCTGAAGAAGAGGAGGCTGTGCTCACCTGAAGTCTGAACATTTCAGAAGCGGAGCAGCAGAAACTTGTGATCATGTGTCCTCCTTTTTTCAAGCAAATATGCAAAATTCAAGCTCCTGTGAGGAACTTCTGGTAGAGCGTCCATATCGGTACCTTTGTTGATGTTGTCCTGAACATGTTGAAGTTGTGTTTTCTCTTCCTACTACAGTCATATCACTTACTGTGAATCACCGATGTGGAAAATGTAAAAAAAGGCGTTTTTTTTTTGTGACTCACATTGTCAGTCACCTACCCAGCCACAGACTTTACAAGCATTCAAATAGAACTTTCTAGATTAACAATAATGTCGCTGATGGTCTTGTTTGCTTTTTTTGGTCATGAAGAAGCATCAATATTCATTTCAATCTGTTTCAAAACTGTAAAAAATCTCATCACAGGAGCTTTAAACAAGTGTGAAGAGCTACCTTACATTACCATAATCTATAGCTAATAGACCAGAAACTAAGAGTTTGCCCTCAATACCCTCGTGGCTGTGGCTCCGTTGGTAGACCAGAAGGTTGAGGGTTCGATCCCCAGCTCCTGCAGCAACATGTCTCAAAGACACTTAACCCCAAGTGGCTCCTGCTGCTTCGTCTGTGGTGTATGAATGTATATGAATGGGATTAGTTACTTCTCATGGTTTACTTTACATAGCAGCCTTTGCCAGTAAGTGTGTGAATGTGTAGGTGTGACCTGCGGTGTTTAGGCCCTGACACACCAAGGAGATCGTGAGCGATCGTCTCCCTAGTTTTTTCGGCCAATTTCGATTAGTGTGGTTTCTCCTTATTTGTCGCCTCAGTCTCTTCTTTTTTTTTTTCCACTAAAAGACCGAGGGCTGACAACACCATTTTCAACTTTTTGATCAGACATAATTCTCGATTAGAAGTACCGATAATACAAGTGGTGCGTGACAGTGGTGTGAAAATGGTCTTCTCCTATCATAACAACAAGCTACCGCTATATAAGCATTTTTGTGGAAAAAAGTAATAAATAGATTAATTAAATGATAAATAGAATTAGAATCTTTAAGAATATAATGTGTCACAAAGAAAGTGGTATCAGCTGAGGTAAGGCACTGGGTTTGGTTTTAAGATTGTTGAAGCAAAGAAAGCAATCAAATGTGATCGTTCTATAGTTGTTGGATTTATTAGATTGTTTTTTATATTTAAAAAAATGCACATTAAACACAGACGTATTCACGTTTCAGTTAAAAAAGCTAAATTTTCTGTTTGTTACATGAAGGAAAACTGAAAGTGAGAATAGGACGTTTGCATTTGAATTTAAAAAGGATTGGTTTACTTAAATACAGACAGAAATGTTTATATTTTGATGCTTTACATGTGTGGACTTTATCCAACAATGCATGCAGCTTTTGTTTTTTATCCTCCTAAGTTTGGTTTGATCCTCGTCGTCATAGTTACGGCTTCACCTTGTCATTTGAACTTGATGATTATTATTAAGGGTGCTGGTTTACGGTTTAAAAAAAATTGTTTTAATGCTGTGAAGATCAGTAAAAATATGTCATTAACCAACACATTTCAAATCAAACTTCCAGTAGTGGAGAAAGACGTTTTTGTGTGTTTCTGTATTTTAAGTAAAACAACCCCTTTAAAAAAAGCAACACAATAAAACATCCAGATAATTTAGACGTAAAGAAAACTATTTACAAGTGGTGTCTTAGTGACAGGACACTTATGTGGAGTTTATCTGAGAGGAGGAACTACTGCTACCGGAGCTCTTAGTCTTCTGCCCTCTTGTGGCGCTGGGCTGCCGCTGCACTCGCTGGCTGGAGGCCTCCCTGCTCTTCTCGCTGTGACTCGCTCCGGCTTTACTGCGAACTGCAGACACAAAGTAAACAAAACAGAGCGCGTCAAGTTAAAGGTGCATTACGATCGTGGCTTTACATATTTAAAAAAATAATAATAATAAATGGCACTTGAGTGGAGATGGAAAGGAGAGATGGAAATGATAAGACATGACTAAAAAAACAAGAGGAGATGGTTTCACTTTCTCACCCTTTTTTTAAAATTCAAATTCACAGCAATTCAAGGGAAAGTTTTAAATAAAAAATGTCTTTTGGGATATTTTTTTCTGAACCCTGTTAACCCCTGAAGCATCCTGCTCCTTCTCATTAAACCAAAACTTTAGGATAACTCTAACGAACTTGTTTAATCCTCTTTAAACCCTCCCAGATGAATCAAATATGCAGTGAAAATGTCCACACCCATCTTTCCAATCTACACACACATGCATGCACACAAACACATGCATATAAACACACACACATAGTTTCAACCGGGCAACCGCTGTGAAATGAGGAATGCACAGCATGTAGTCTGACAAAACCCCCGGTCCTTATAGCACGCAGACAAAACACTTATTATATGAGGAACGCAGGCAGACAGACGGATGGATTTTGTGGGACACGGTGCAGCAGAGGGGACCTTGAGCGTGAGCAGGGCTAGCGTCTTGGGGGCCGTAGACCACAATCTTAGTGTTGACCCTTGTGGCTCTGGGGCCAGACGCTGCGGGAGGAGCTGCGGAGAGCTTAGGGCTCTTTCCAGAGACCAAAGAGTCCTCTTCTTCAGGAAAACAAAAGAAGCGTAGAAAAAAAAAAAAAACATTTCAGGAGGATAGAGGAGAAATCAGAGAGCGCTGCGACATGCACACAGTGACGATCAGCTTTACATCCTGGTTCTTCAGTTCACCTCTGTTCAGGAGAAAGACCAAAGTGTGAGGTGAAGTGAGGAGGGGAGAGTAGTTTGTGAGGGGGATTAGTCGGTGCTGAGTTCGAGACTACAGTCTGCAGTGCTCAAGATGAGGAATGTGATTTTTTTTTTTTTTTTTTGACATGCTTGAAAAGAGAAGGGAGAAGCAAAAGGCACAAGGAGAACAATAAGAGCGAGTTGAAAAGGGAAAAATCTGTCGAATTTTTTCCTAAGATTTGAGGCCCTTTCTTCACTTTGTTCAGAAAAGCTGGGTGAAAGACCTTGAGCTCTTTAACACTGTGTTGGAAAAAGATCCACACACACAAAATGCTGTTCAGCCTCGTCGAACACAAAACCTTTAACATCCAAAGCTTTAAATTATTTTCCAAGACTCAAGGTATTTCAGCTTTCTTTTCACAACTTTCTAGACACAACCTGCAGGAGGTTTCTCTTCGGAGTATTTGCAGCTGCACATAAAGACGTGAGGGCGTGAATAACCTTCAAGTGTTCTCCAAGTGAGGCGAGTTTTTTTTTTTTTTTTGAAGGTTACATGTCACTTTCCCAACGAGCAGACATGAAGCCCAAATGAAGCGCAAATAACTGAATCATCATTAGGTCCTCTGTTAAAAAGCCCAGCAGAGATAAACATGTTACAAGCTTGGTCCAAAATACAATTTTACCAAGATTTAAAAGAACTTCATTAAGGGGGCGCAGGATGGCCTGGCGGTTGGGTTGTGCCCCATTTTTGTGTTTTTTATATTTTTTAATTCTATTTTATATCAATCAATCACATCTATTTATAAAGCACATTTTAAAAACAACAGCTGACCAAAGTGCTGTACATGACAAGAGAGCAATACAGATTAAAAAACAAAAATTAAGAATAACAAGGCAAAAACTCACATAAATGTTTGCCTACACACAGAATACGAACAATATAATTGGACAATAATATGATAAGACATTTGAAAGAGGTATAAGCAACCTAACCAGGACTCAAAGGCCAGCGTGTAGAGGTGTGTTTTGAGGCGGGACTTAAAAGATTCCACAGAGGGGGGCAGACCTCACAGAGGGAGGAAGGCTGTTCCAGAAGCGAGGGGGCCTTGAGAGTGAGGTCCAGCTAGGAGGCCCATGTTACAGGATCTGATATTGTAACAGCTTCTTATACTGTTTTATTTTAAGTTGTTGCTAGTTCTGATTTATTTCCTTGTTAATTGTTTAGCACCAACACACCAAGTCAAATTCCTTATATGTGGAAATGTACTTGGCAATAAACCCAGATTCTGATTCTGATTCTGATGTGGGGATTAGGAAGGCAACAGGCCTCTGGGCGGAAATCCAGGATTTGGGTCCTACCTGTGGCTCCTTTCCTGATTTCCTGACTCTATCCACTGTCCTATCAAATAAAGGCAAAAAGCCCCAAAATAAATCTTTTATGAAATAACATGAAACTGATGTTTTCTTATTTCTTATTTTGGTTTAAGACTCCCACAATGCAGAGTTAGGAGGCAGCTTAAAGCCCCTGGAAAACCTGACATGAAATATTAAAAAATGCACCTGTTGTACAAAATGTAATGCATCATAAAGCATCGATTAAAACCTGAGTGAAAATAAACATTCAGAACTTTTAGAAAAAAAAAAACCTCTTTCAAAAGCAGCTCAGGTCATTTCTCAGGACTGTGTGGGCGGGGCATCTCACATACAGTATGTCAATCAAAGTTCTCATGTGCACCACTTCAACACGTAATGCTGATCAGGGGGAAAAAGAGTTTGTTAGACCATAATGCATCTTTTTCATCTTATGAGAGTCATCTTAATAATAATGATGATTTAGTACAACAACAAACTGAGCGTTAAAGTCTGAGGTGATTTAAAAATCTCAGACAGATGAAACCCGGCTCCCTTTTGTTTTGTGTCCAGGACCCCTGGACTGTACCTGTCAGGGAAACCTTTACCAGCATCAATAATTAAACAGACTTAAATCTAAGTCGTCCCGACGTGAACTCGACTGTTAACTTGGGTTTGTCGTTGCTCGTGACCTCGCTGACAGACACTGACCTCTGGCCTCCGCTGGTGCTGCGGTGATGCCGGTCGTGTGGGAGGCCGCTGAAGGCTCCGCTCCGCCGCAGCTCTCAGCGACCCTCTGACCTGCACACATCGCCTTCAGAGTCTGGAAGACCGCTTGAGGAGCCACGTTCATCTTCAACAGATCCACTATGATCCTGGGACGCAAGGAATCAAAATGCAGGAGTGTTGAATGAGGCTCTTTGTCTGTTTGTTGGCTGCAGAGTGATTGATGATTATGTTACACTCACTTGAAGACCTCTTGGTCCACAGTGATACCTGCAGCCTGAGTCAGCTCAAACAGCTCCATCTCTTCAGCACTGAGGACCTTCTTCTTCTTGATGGCATATTTCTGCACATTACTGGTGACCAGCAGGGCAGGGGAGTCCGGGGCGGAGGGCAGAGACTGTGAAGGCTGTTGAGACATCTCCAGCTGAAATCTAGACACGGATGTGAATGAGAAGGAACATTACATGAGACACAGAACAGCTGCATTATTTTTGTTTTTTTGACGCTGCAAGCAACCGTAGTGCAGTTCACATGTGGAACAATTAACCTTTATATATTAACAAACATATAAACAACAGACCTGAAATGCGTTGACAAATTCAACTGATAGTTTAATAAAACAAAATACACACCGTGAAAATAGGGCCAGGTGCGCGTTACAAAGCGTCGTTAAACACAACAGTTCCTCCTGCTTCAACACAAACGAGGCGCGCCAAAGTTACGTCATAACCAAGGGACACACAGTTCACTGCACTGGGAGTTGTAGTCCGATAGTCACACGATTTAAGTACTTGAACAAATCTGGCTTTTAACAAACTTTTTGCTTTTGTTTATTAACACCGAGTGAATTAAACTACACAACGCGATATTTTAACAATGCTTCTTTTGGCTAACCATCAGTATAAAAAAAATATCAGACGGTATTTAAAGATAATAATAATAACAATAATATAATAATAATAATAATAATAACAATAATAATAACAATAATAATAATATAATAATAATAATAACAATAATAATAATAATAATATATAATAATATAATATAATAATAATAATAATAATAATAATAAAAGATGTATTACAAATCATATATGAAAAGGAGAGCAAAACCTGAACTCGGATCTTTAAAAGCTGGTATGACATTTGCTTGAAATACTATTGTTGTGTAGTCTGCTTTCTATTTACAATCTCTGATAGACTAGCCTACAATACAGAACATGTTTGATTGAATCTCAAATTATTTTTTTATTTTAAATCTTACAAGAGTGGTGGAATAAAAATAGAAAGTGGCATAAACGGACAAGATTCATCTGAGGCGAAGGACTTGCAGAAACAACATAAATCACAAATGTGGATACATAAGTGTCTTAAGCACTTGATATTAAATGTAATATTTTTCTAAAATAATAGAGCCAGTTAATGATAACTGTAAAATTGCATGCAAATTATTTCTTTAATATGCTGTAAGTCATTAGCTGGGGTTTGTTTATGAAGATTTTCTGTCTAATTCTGGCTGGACAAAAAGTACAAGTGTATTATATTATATGGTGGTACCATCATTTTTTTTTGCACATTTACATTTAATCTTTCATATTGAAGACTAGTAATGCTTAGTTAAATCCTGGTTGTATATATTCACATTCTTAGTTTTGATATTTTTAGTACTTATTTACTTTGTATTTAATATTATATTATGTTTAAATTTGCTAACATTGTGTGTTTTTTACTCATATTGTGTGTTTGGACAACCTGCAGCTGTAACGCCACAATTTCCCAGTTTGGGATCAATAAAATAATTCCATTCTATTCTATTCTATTTTATTTTATTCTATTTTTTCTATTCTGTCATTTGAGAAAAAAAAAGCCTAGTGTAAGTGCGCATGCGCAGTAATTCTATTCTATTCTATTCTATTTATTTTTTCTATTTTTTCTATTCTATCATTTGAGAAAAAACACCTGCTCAGTCGTCTCCGCCTGTCGTCCAAGAATGGCCGCTGCTGCAGCAGGAATAAACAAGCAGGGCGCTGTAGCGACGATGGAGCCCTGCATCCGACACGGGAGGGGGGCCAGTGGAAACAGCGTCAAGGTTGTACTGCTTTCTCTAGAATAGAGGACACGATACAAACCTGCAGTGATTCACTTTGTGTTTTTTTGGGGGGGGGTTAGTTTGCACAAAGGGATCATCACCAGGCTAGTTAGCTGCTGCGTTGGCGTTGCTGTCCGCAGTGGATGCCAGACAAGTCTATCATGCTTGACTCTGCAAGATATATGTGTAAAAGTCACATCAGGATTATTTTCTGCTTATTTATTTGTTAAATAACTTAGATGTATTAATGCACACTCTTCAGCCTGGTGTTGTTGGTGTGTGCAGAATGCTCACATTGTGGTCTGCATGAGCTTTGGTGCCATTCAGGGGCAGCCTGCAGCTCCACTGTGTGGCAACAAGGGCTCACATGATTGATTTCTAAAGTCGCAGCACAGTTTGCATGCAAGTTAGCACCTGGTTTTCTCTATTAAACCCTCTATGTCGACTTAGTATTTGTGTAAAGATCGTGTCTAGAAAGTGACACATTTAGTGAAGGTGACTGCAGCTCTGACATTCTCAATGACTCTTTATTTTATTGTTTTAATGTAATTTTCCATGTAGAGTATCCATCTGCATTAAGTCATGTAAATATTAAAATTGGTGCAGGCTGTTAAACATATCTCAGCTTTTTTTTTCTGCTTTAGTTTCTGGTACATGTAAGTGTTTTCTGGAAGCTTATCATGTTGTTTTATTCACTTGCAGGTGCTGGAGTGTGGTGTTTGTGAGGATGTCTTCTCCCTCCAAGGAGATAAGGTCCCCCGTCTTTTGCTGTGCGGTCACACAGTGTGCCATGATTGTCTAACCCGGTTGCCCCTCCACGGAAGAGCGGTCCGCTGCCCCTTCGACAGACAGGTCACTGAGCTGGGTAAGTCAAACATCAAATCAGATTTTTTTTGCAAGCTTTGCTCCTTTAAAATCTTAAAAGAAAAAGCCATGACTATTAGATTCACTGAGGCACTGAGACCTGGGACATCACGTCTCGTCTCGTCTGTCTGTCTGGTGAAAGTCTGGACGATCAGGTCAAACCAGCAAGAGACAAGAATGTAACTGACAGAGAACATCTTCAAATCAGAAACTGCAGTTATCTCTGAAATCATGACTGCAGATTAGATTGATTGAAAGCTCCTGTATGGAAATCGGGTTGTCAAAATTCTAAATTTATATATATATTTGTTTTGGGTCTTTTTGTCTCTATTGGATATGACTATAGTCTCCGTACATGGGGCGCAACCTAACCACTAACCCACCTGCACCCCAGAATTACTAATAATACAGCATTGTTTTAAAACCTTACAATCTCTATTATTTTTTTTGATTTATCAAACTTAATTTGTGTCCAATTTCTTGATTTTTACTTACCAAATATTTCAAGCCTTGATTGCCTACTGGCTAAATTGCACAAATACATTGAAGCGTTTCTGTATTGAACTGTTCCAAATGTATTATGTGCTTTCTGATATGTGCATTTATCAGAAAGATTGATAAGAAACAGGTATTTATTATCTAATAGCATCATATTGAATGTTAAAATTACCCAGATGAAAGATGTTTTAAAAGTTGGTCTTTATAAACTAAATTAATTAATTTAGCATCACAGCATCTCTTTCTACACGGTAACAGCTGCACCAGGAACTGAATGCTTTTCTGTCACAGTAGTAAATCCTGGATCATAAATCCCCCTGACTGAGCTGCATTTATTCAAATTGAGTTTATTCTGACACATTAATGTGTAACTGTGTTGTAGTGTATTATGTGTTATGTTTTACAATGTTTTATTCGCGTGTATTTTTGGTATTTGTGATTTTTGTTTTTATGTCCAGCTTTTTTGCCCTGGTGGTTTGTAGCTCTCTGTCTTCCCTTATTTTCTGGAGAACATTCTTGTGTTTAAATCGACATTAAGGTCAACTTTAAGCACAGTCAGACCTCCAGTAGGCATATCACACATGTATCAGATTCTGTGTTTTATGTGTTTCTATTTTTGAAAACGTTTGGACCAAAACATTGACAGCATATTAGAGAACTTTGTGCTAACTCTGTTCACAGTTCTTGGAAAAATTCCAGCTCAAACTTTCACAATAAAAAAACTGCCATATTGATAATCCCTCCCAATAAAACCATTTTATTTGGGCTCTAATGTGGACACATACTCAAAGGTCAAAGGTCAAAGGTATCTTTATTGTCCCCACAAGGAAATTTGTTTGCAGCTGGAACATACAAATACATAAACAACGCTAATAAATCATCCAAACATCAAGTGCATAAGTACATGAAGCCCAGCAGAGATGAAGATATGCTCCAGCATCCAGATAAAAATGATAAAGTGCAATGAGCAAGGAATACTGGGCGTATTCAGCTGGTTTTGAGAGGATAGAAAACACACCTTTAAACACTACCAAAAATAAGACCTGCTACAGAAACCTGAGTGTGAAGTGATGACTGGAGAGAAGCAGTTCTTTCTGTTTTCCTTCAGACTGTCATTTATTTTGTTGTCAGGGAGGAGCTCTTCTTGTCTTACAGTGTTTTCTTTTTCCTCTCATTTTTAGGGGACTCTGGAGTTTGGGGTCTGAAGAAGAACTTTGCCCTGCTTGAGCTCTTGGAGCGACTCCAGAACGGAGCCTCCAACCAGTCGGGGATGGCGGAGGACGCTCTGAAGGGCATGGGAGAAGTAAGACGACGGAGATGTTTAATGTTTGTCGTCTAACTCAGCGCTGCATCATGTTCTCTGTTAAATCATCCGACCCCTGCTGGTCTAAAGCACTTGTATCATAAACTGTCCCTTCTTCTCGTCTTAGTGTATAATCCGCTGTGACGAGGACGAGAGCCACACGGCCTCCATGTACTGCACCGTGTGCGCCACCCACCTGTGTGCCGAATGCTCCCAGCTCACCCACTCCACCCGCACTCTGGCCAAACACCGCCGCGTCCCGCTGGCCGACAAGCCTCACGAGAAGACCCTGTGCCCGCAGCACCAGGTCCACGCCATCGAGTTCGTGTGCCTGGAGGAGCCGTGTCAGTCCGGGCCCCTGATGTGCTGCGTGTGTAAGGAGTACGGCAAGCACCAGGGACATAAGGTAGTCCAGCAGGAACTATGGAATTCACAAGCCGGGTCCTACTTTTTAAACTAATATATTTTGACATTTGATAATCCTAACTATTGGTATGAAACGTTTCAGCTCGCTGCAGGGAAACAGGCCGTAATGGCTGCAACCAGATAATGGTATAAACACTAAAAGATTGTTTTTGACGGACCGTGGTGCCTGCTGTGGAAGGATTGTGCGGCACTGACTGAGCGCGGTGTGCACAGTAGTTTGTGGGAAGTCTCTGAAAATGTAACCTAAAGAGCTTTTTGTGTAAATGATACCTTCTTTTCTAAAAGCAGAAATAGATGTTACATTCCTGATTTCAAAGCATCCAAACTCCATTGACAAACCCTGAAACTCCACCTGCTGGTCTACAGCTGCCTTGTTCTGTGTTAAGCTTGTTTTTTTTGATGTGTGACTCTGATGTTTTAAATAGTCAGCCTGGGTCAAAAACAAAACAATACCACAAACTGACAGATTAGTCGAGGCGGGAAAGGGAATGTGTAAATCAGTGAACTTCTTGTCATGAAAGATAAAACAGAAAAATCAAAGTAGTAACCAAATTTCCACCCCTAGGCATTAAATATTGGGTATTTCTTGTTTCTAATTACGGTACAAAAAAAAATGCAGAAATGTCCTTCATACCGTCTAAATTACACAAATGCATTGCAACGTCTTTTTTCAATTCTCTGATTTTTTTGAAATTTTCAAAAAATCCACAACAAAAAAACGCCAACCAGAATTTACATTTTTAGACACTTCAAATCCATTAATTACCCCCTTTACCTTTTCTGATTAGATTATTTCCTTTTTAATATAGATAGGAGCAAAAATGTACTGTTTCATACTGAAACATTTAGAAGTGACACAAAATACAGCTGAATGACGGCTGGAGTTTGATGGCTTTGAAGAGATGAATGTTTCAGGTTGAGACTCTTGTAATACCTCTATCACTGGCAGCTTCTAGTGAACACACTTTAATTTGGTTCCCTCGCCTGCAGGGACGACATCCAGAGCCGTTACAGCTTGTTTCACAGCTGCTGGCTGAAGAAATCTGCTGGAGCTATTCCAACACCTTTTTTTTTTTTTTTTTTTCTGGGATCCTAAAATATGTCAAATTTTGCCCAATGTGTTTCCATCCTTTCTCTCTCTCCAGCACGCCGTTCTGGAGACTGAAGCCAATCAGATCCGTGCGTCCATTTTGGACATGGCCCACTGCATCCGCACCTTCACAGATGAAGTGTCCGAGTACTCCAGGAAGCTGGTGGGCATCGTGCAGCAAATAGAGGGAGGGGAGCAGATCGTGAAGGACGGAGTCGGCATGGCACACACTGAACATGTAAGACGCTGTTTCTCTGTTCACACATGCACTCCGCCCAGATCTTTTTCTGAGCTGCTCAGTAAGACATGGAAAAAGGCCGCTGCAGAAGAAGACCCTTTCCTCTATTTACTTAACCCCCCCCCCCGTGTCTGCCCATCAGGTCCCTGGCACGGCAGAGAGCGCCCGCTCATGTGTGCGGGCTTACTTCGCGGACCTCCACGAGACGCTGTGTCGGCAGGAGGAGATGGCGCTGAGCGTGGTGGACGCTCACGTCAGGGAGAGGCTGATCTGGCTGAGGCAGCAGCAGGAGGACATGACCATCCTGCTGTCCCAGGTGTCCACGGCCTGCCTGCACTGTGAGAAGACTCTTCAGCAGGTACGAGACAAGACGACTTCAACAAAATGACTTTTTTGGGCTTTTGTGCCTTTGAGAGAGAGAGAGAGAGAGACGCCACCAGCGCCCCAATCAAATGACTTTCATCCAAAATACAAATTCAGTTTCTAAGCGGCGCTGGAGGATAAGAAAACGAGCAAGATTGGGAAAATTCTTTCTCTGCAGTTTGTATATTTGATGTCTTTGCAGCTGGGCAAACAAAATGTTGTTGTATGCACACAATGACAATAAAGTATGTCATCTTAATATAAAGATAGTAAAGAGGAAATGATCAAAGATAAAACAAAAACTTCCTGGTAAAGAGAAACATCTTTATCACTGATGATATCTAGTTTCTGAAAGAAGACTTCAGTAAAAAGTGATTTCTGTCACTTCCCCTCCTCTTTCAGGACGACTGCAGAGTTGTGCTGGCCAAGCAGGAGATCAACTGTCTGCTGGAGACGCTTCAGAAGCAGCAGCATCAGTTCACAGAGCTGGCAGATCACATTCAGCTGGACGCCGGCATCCCCGTCACCTTCACCAAGGTACACACTGTCCTCACACACCGCTGTGCTAAACCGATCGCTCACAGTAGAGAGCCCTGGATGTGTTCAGGTGATATTTGAAAAAAAAAAAAAGTGACTTTTCTTTCTTTTCTAGGACAACCGGGTCCACATTGGTCCAAAGATGGAGATCCGTGTTGTCACTCTGGGGCTGGATGGAGCCGGAAAGACCACCATCCTCTTCAAGCTGAAGCAGGATGAGTTCATGCAGCCAATCCCAACCATCGGTACTTCCTCTGACATTAAAATACGCTTACTCACTCAGAAGAGTCTTTTTTTTAAAACTGTTCTAAATTAAAGCTTTTATTTTGAAAGGTTTCAATGTGGAGACGGTCGAATACAAGAATCTGAAATTCACCATCTGGGACGTGGGAGGAAAACACAAGCTGAGGCCTCTGTGGAAACACTACTACCTGAACACTCAAGGTAACGTCTGTGCTCAACTTTACATGTTGTTCTGTGTATATGTGAAATATGCAAAAAGGATTCAAATTCAGAATCCCATCAACACATTGTGACGGACTCTGCAGGCTTTTTTTTTCTTTAGCTCATTTTGATATTCAAAAAACACTTTTTTTTTCCCCCAGTGCGGTGGTTTGAATATCAAATATATCTGCAGTGTCAGTGTAAAGGAAAAGTCGCCTGAGGGCAGAAAAAGGATGTGGATCTGATCCTGATCAGACCGGAGCGCCTCGTCCAGCCTGAGTTTGGATGAGCTCTCTTACATAAACAAAAATCTGACACCACTCTGTTCACAAGAGAAACCGAAATGATTGAATACGCTTCATATCAGGCGTCTTATTGGCATCGGACAAAGAAGCAGGAAAGCTTGCGGGTGCTCTGAATTTCTTCTTAATTCTCAAAACAGCTTTTATGTGTTTTTCTGGAAATCCATGTTTCAAGTGGATCTCTTCTTCAGGTCAGAAATGGATTTACCTGAGAATAACATCCCTGTTGTGTTGATTAATTCAATATATGAACTCTACATCTACATAACAGTGCCAAAAAAAAAAAAGTGTTTGAGACGCATAAGCTCATTTGGTTACTATAGCAACCATGCAGCACCATGAACTTTGCCCACTTCCTAGAAACAACAGGGGGGGGGGTGGATCATATTTTAATGGCCAATCACATCCCTGATTAAGTCTGTGTTGATTTAATTGGCTATAGATATATTAAAAAGTCCAAGAGGTGTGACTAAGACTTCTTTTTCTAGGCATTATATGTCCGTTAATATAGTCTGGGTAGCTGTATTACTGTTTGAATGCAGAACAAAAGACTATTTTTAAGACACCCTTTGAGGAAATTGTCTCTTACAGGATCGATTAATTTTTATTCACCAAAAAAAGTGACATTCCTTCCTGTTTTGCAGAACGGAGCGTGAAAGTTCAAGTGCTCCGTGATTTAAAAACGTCATCTTAATGTGCACACTAACTTTTTGGGAACTTTTCGTCTTGTTCTGTGTTCAATAATCATTTTCTATATGGCGGTTACTGTAGGGAGCGGAGCGGGTTCTTGCAGTTCTTGTTGATATCTGAAACACTAGAAGTTCATTTCTATGTTTGCTTTTAAGTTCAGGTGAAGTAGATCTGCTTTGAGATGTGTCGTCTATGTAGCGGGCTTTGGATGGTGAAGTTCTGATGAATGATGACTTTTCCCTGTGTGTGTGCAGCGGTGGTGTTTGTGGTTGACAGCTGCCACAGGGACCGACTGATGGAGGCTCACAGCGAGCTGGCCAAACTGCTGACGGAGAAAGAGCTGAGGGACGCCTTGTTGCTCATCTTTGCCAACAAACAGGTACCACCAGAATCACACCCTGACATTTCACTTCTTCACAATCTGAAGTTTCAGCTGGTGCCGAGCTGGATCATCTTTTTATTTTATTTTGAATGTTTTGCAGGACGTTCCCGGGGTCGTGTCTGTGGAGGAGATGACGGAGCTGCTGAGCCTACACAAGCTGTGCTGCGGGAGGAGCTGGCACATTCAGGGCTGCGACGCCCGCAGTGGGATGGGCCTCCACGAGGGGCTGGATTGGCTCTCCAGACAGCTGGTGGCTGCTGGCGTCCTGGACGTCGCCTAGATGTCAGCTTCGCTCTACGTCTCTACTGACTCTGCCCCCCTCCCCTCCTAACAACTGAACCTAAACATGAAATACAAAAGGCTCTCAGCCCGCCCTCCTCATCTTTCCTCCTTTGTGCACCACTATGCGCAAAGAACACAAAGATGTAAATACTCTCTCTCTCTCTCTCTCTCTCTCTTGCTTCACTGATTCAGTAGATGGAACAGACAAAGCCGTCTTGCAGTAGGAGCCAACCTCTGGCTCTAAAAAGCTGAGAGAAATGGGAACTTTGGTATCTTTAAACTTTGGCCCTATTTTTTTTTTTATATTTCAGGGTCTAAATGACCAAAAGTTACCAAAAAATATGGAATTAATCCAGTTTATTGCTTCAGCCGGCAGCTTAAAACTGTTGCAACCTATTCAAATATGCCAGAACAAAATCAAATCTCCTTAAAGTTCTTGTTTTTCTCGATCAGTCACTTGATCATTTGTATTAAGGTTTTTATCAGATCAAATCAAATATCCATGTAATGCACAATAACACTAAACTAACCAATACTATTTTATCGGGATCCTTTCTGTAATAATGACGGACAGTTCAAATAATCTGAGAGTGACTTTTGCTTAAAAAAAAAAAAAAAAAAGGAACTTTTAAGGAACCGTGGACAAAAGTGGTACCTCTGCAGATTTTGACCTGTTCATGTGACGGTAGTGTTTTCTGGTGAAGAATTATAGCCTTGCTTGTTTTTAGCAGTCAAACGTTTCATTTACCTTAATTTAAAACGTTAAAAAAAAAGGTTAATTCAGCATTCTTATCAGGTACCTCACCACAGCAGCCTGTAGCTGCCAGGCGGAGAAATCCACCGGCTCAATTCTAAAACCTTTTCTACTTTAAAGTCAGTTTGACCCTGAAATACTTTTAAAAATAGGATTGTGGTTTACAAACTGCGCTCTTAGACTACCAAACTGCTTCATTTTGAGCCAGCTTAAACGTTGCTTTCTTTCCTGTCTCTCTCTCTCTCCTCGTTACTCCCAGCGTGTTCGTCCGACATCTTAAGCTAGGTAACTAAAGCTCGGTAGATGTTTATAACGCTCATCGTGCCCCGACAGTGTGGACTCGAGTAATTCCTCTCATATTGTCATTTATAATAACCTCCTCTGTGCGTGACAGTAAACTTAAAACATCCAGTAGTTTTTAATGGTAACCATGGCAACATGCCCATGACAATTTTACGCTTAATTCCGTATATATCTGCAGGTAAGTGAGACGGGACTTGAGAAGGTTCTCTCTCTGTGTGTGTTAAAGAGTTTCTGTGGCTTCAAACTGATGCTCAAACGTTCAGACTTTGCCTTCACATCTATTGTAATCAATAGCAGCGTCTTTTATTTACGCGTTTGTTTGTTTTTTTTCTCCCCCCGTGTGCTATATGAACCTATTTAAAGCCGCAGCTGGTCTTGAAATGGCGCACGACATGTGTAGTTTTTTGGGGGTTTTTGTTTGAAATGTAGTGTTGTTTTCTGTTACAGACGTGTTTACTGAACTTATTTATGAGCGTGAACTTTGATACGAGTCGGGGGGGAAAGGAATCTGTTCACGCATGGATTTCTGCCTCTTGCTTTGTGGAGTTTGCCGCACGCAGATTTGTGTGGCATGCGCTCGTTTGCTGCCTCTCTCTCTCTCTACCGGTTTTGATTTAAGACGCAAATGAATGCTGCAAAAACTAAATGTCTTGTGAAAACTATTTAAAACACCTACCAGGTCCTGTTTGTCGGTGTGTGCGTATGAAAACGTGCACCTTTTTTGGTCTCCAGCCTTCAGCTCTAATGTGAAACGTAGTGAAATATGGATCCTAACACTGACACACTCGTCTTGTGATTCTTAAGAAAACCGTCGTTTTGACTTTGATTTTGTCTTTATTCATTGCTATGTAATGTTAACTATTTGTATGTATAAAACTGAAAAACATGCACGTGTGAAAAGCCTTTCCACATAGTTTGTGAAACCTTTCCGTTTGTTTTTTGTTTGTTTCTGAAACGTAGAAGCACAATGCGCATCGGAACCTTTGTTACGAGTCGACTTGATGATGGCTTTTTGTAAATTATTCATAATGTGATGCTGTAAAATAAACTAATTGAACTTAATGGTCTGCTTCTTTTTTTTTTTTTTTTGAGTGGTTGAAGAATCTTCAGTAAGCACGGTCACTCATCATTCTTTAATCTGGTATAAAATAAAAAAAGAGACATTGCTGTACAGGAAGTGACGGAGACCGTGCGATCACTTGACGGTGATGTTGATGATGCTGATGTCTTCGTACGGTTTGTCCGTCTTGGGGTTCACTTTGACATTGGAGATCCTCTGGACGGCCTCCATGCCTTTGGTGCACCTGCCGAACACGGTGTGCTTGTTGTCGAGCCACGGCTGCAGGACGGAGGGAAAAAAAAAAACAACACGATGTGATTAATAATTTAAATGAATAATAAGAGCGTCTGAGCACTTTCACAGATTGAAGGTCAAATTCTTTTGGAATATTTTATCAGGTAGAGTACATGACGTGGTGTTTTCCACATCATCACTGTGATTAGAAGGTAACACTCCTTTCTAAAAGAACGAACAACTTAAATTCATATGCAGTTTGTTTTTCATCACCAGGTAATCTGAAAACTTTCCAGAGTTACGGTCTAAATGAGGGCCAAGCCTGCTGCACACGAGATGAGATTTTTTCATTGATATTTATTGTCTTAGTCTTGACTCGGTCTCGGTTAGTGAAGCCTTGACTACAACACAATTTAAAACCAATCTGCAAATATTATATTATATAAGAAAAAAAAAAAGCTTCAAGAAAACAGATCTGCCGGTAATATTTTTTTCCCAAAAGCTAAGTGGAGCAGACGAGAGGGACGGGGGTCTAAATTTCACAAATATGCTATGAAAACGTTGCAATGCATTTGTGTAATTTAGACAGCGTGAAGGACATTTCTGCATTTCTTTGTACCGTAATTAAAAACAAGAAATACTCAATATTTAATGCCTAGGGTTGGACATTTGGTTGCCGTGGTATCCAAACAGGTATCAATAAATTTTTAAAAATAGTATAGCAACTAAGTTTAAAAATCTGGTACCCTGTGACAATACATGGTTTCTTTTTATGCACTTCATGGCTTATTAAACGTATGTGAATAAGCCCCATTATAATTCTGATCACTAACTAATTATCAAACTTAGCTGGAGTCCTGGGTCATCTACTTCTGTGGCTCGACTCGTACGAGTCCTGACACTACATCTGATCAGACGTGCCGAGAGGGGGTTTCCACTACGAACTACAAATGAAGCAACTGAACTCACAGTTGGTACAACGGTGACGAAAAACTGGGAGCCGTTGGTGCCGGGGCCTCCGTTGGCCATACTGAGCGTGTACGGGCGGTCGTGTCTCAGCGTGGCGTGGAACTCGTCCTCAAACTCTCCCCCCCAGATGCTCTCTCCTCCCATTCCTGTGCCGGTGGGGTCTCCTGTCTGAATCATAAAACCCTGCACAGAAAAAAAAACATAGAAGAGTAAATCACAGCTTAGTTTTAATTGGTTTATGACTTTTTTTGTCTTGTTTTTGAAACAGGAACATTTTTAAAACCTGTTTTGTGGTGTAACTTAAAAATGGATAAAATTAGTACATTTTGTTTTTTAAAGAAGTGTCCTCTTTTTAGGCTCCTGTGAGGATTTTTCAATTTGCAATAACTTTGGCGCCCCCTTGTGGACAAAACAATACATGTCATCTCTTTCCTGATTTTGTAAAGTAGATGGGTTGTAAGTTTTTTTTCTGATGAACAGTCAGTCTTTTCCGTTGTTATCTTGTTTGCTTTTGTGGTCATAAGAAGGAATCAGGATTAGGGGCGGCTGTGGCTCAGTGGTAGCGTTGTCTTCGCTCAACCTGAAGGTCCAGGGTTCGATCCCCAGCTCATGCAGAAACATGTCCAATATGTCCTTACTCCCACTTCTTCAGTGGTGTATAAATGTGTATGAATGGGATTAGCTACTACTGGTGGACACTTTACATAGCAGCCTCTGCCATCAGTGTATGAATCAAGTCATAAAGAAACCAAAAGATGTCGTAAAAGACGACTTTACAAACACATCACTAACATACCTTGATGACTCGGTGGAAGATGTGTCCGTTGTAGTAACCGTTCCTGCTGTGGACGCAGAAGTTCTCCACAGTTTTGGGACATCTAAAAACGAGAGATGATATGTTAAAGTGGAGTGTAAAGGAGACTTCTTAATAGAACCCGGTGTTTTCTAGAACTTACTCTACTGGGAAAAGCTTGATGTGGATGTCTCCCATGGTGGTGTGGATGATGGCGCTGTCTGACACCCTCTTCGGACCCTCAGCCTGCGTGGCGGCCATCACCTCCTCCTTCGAGGGCTTCTCGTTAAAGATGTCTCTGTCCGAGTCGGCGCCCTTAGTGTCCTCCGGTTCTCTTTTTGAGAACTTAAGTCGAGGTAAAAAAAAAGAAAAGAATAATGCATCAGGAACTGAAAGTAGAGCGACACGATGCAGCTGCAGCACCTTCGATTTGTTCTCTCACCATGTAGAAGCGGTTCTTCTTAAAGGCGGTGCAGAATATGGTGGGGTCAGGCTCCACGTTGTCTAAGGCCGGGTTGTCCGAGGCCTTCATCTCCACGGTGGGCGCCGCCACTTGCATGGCCTTGGCGACCCCCTGGAACAAGCTCAGCTGGACCACGCGGATGTTCTCCAACTTCCCGAGGATCCGCACGCACCTGAAGACGAGATCGAGACAAATGTGTGATAATACATTCACTACAACAAAGGTCGTGTGACAGACGGATCGACTAATTCAATGTTCAAGTAAACAATCAACAACTCATTTTATCAATAAAGCGATGAAACGGCATCACGACGCACATCAAGTAGGTGCAGGGCAGTGAAGAAAACAGCACATTGGTCACACCCGCCCCCTCTCATTTGTTCAAAAATGATCACCTGAAGAAGCCCTCGGGGTCGAAACGTTGTGATTGTGAAAAAAGGAAAACTTTTTGTTGCATTTGAGTAAGTGTGTGATCCTATCTTTTTCCTCAGTCTAACTTTAACAGTAGTTCACAGCACGGAGATGTGGGGCTCTCGCTCTTTCTTTTATTTATCTTCATCATAACCTCTGTCAGCCTGTGTGTGTGTGTTTATTAAAGAGGTATAAAACAAAACCTCAATAAAGAGCATACCATTTTAACACATATACTGGTTTGGGGTGTTTTAAACTTCCACCATGTGCAGGAGAAGAAATGAGAAGAATACAAAACGTCAGGGAGAGGAGAGGGGAAATCATAATTGCTACCAAGAATGGGAGGCTAACCTTCGAGCTACATCACGGAACATTAGAAAATACATTTCTCCCTGATGTAACCCAGACGAACACATTTTATAGTGCAGTGTCATAAAGATCCAAGAAAGAATTTCCAACGCCGAAGAATAAATATAGACTTCAACGTGCAGAAAAAGACTTCAATTTTTTTGTACATGTTCTCCAATAATTAACTCTAAAATATCACTGGGAATAAATACAAACACCTCAGCATTATTCCGCAAGATATTAGCCGTAAAAAGGAACAACATGTGCTATCAATTAATTAAATTCAAAGCTTGATCCAAAGGCAACTTTTGAGTTCATGGGGAACTCTCTTCTCCTTCTTATCATTATTATCATGTTACTTCAGCATCTTTTGCACTGTTTCATATTTAGTCATGTAAATATTAGTCTTTTCTTATTATGTTTATTGTTGATATTTAATGTTGCACCTGTACATAAGTAAGGACAGAAGACATTTAAACTTTTAAACTTTAGCCTGAGTTGCATATATCATATATCAAACTGTATTGTGGGCTCATGTTTTTTTGTATGGGTGGGATATGTTTGTATATATGTGTTGTGTTGTGTGTTTGTATGCTGGCTGCTGGAACATCTACATTTCCCTGCTGGGATGAATAAAGTATATCTTATCTTATCTTAGGTTAAGACAGCACAGTTCACCAAAGTTAAATCCCTTGTGTGTGTGTAAGACTACCTGGCCAATAAATCTGATTCTGATGAACATACCTGTTGGTTTCTACATTGATGACCTTGATGCCCAGCATGGTGCCGTACAGCACAAAGTGTCCGGTCTCATCAAAGATGATGTTGGTCAGACGGATCCCGTCCACCTTCTCCAGCTCTCTCTCCACAGCCATCCGCCTCCCGAACTCCATGTCAGGAAGCTGCTGCCTCATCTGCTGCAGCTCTGTGAACATCTGACACACAGAGCGGGCGTACGGGTGTTAGCACGGCGAAGTCGCACCATCAGTAAATATACCTGTGCAGAACAAATGTGTGAGGCGAGGACTTACAGATAAAGATTCATCAAACACTCTCATCAGCTTCCCTGTCAGGAAGCGGAAGATCCGGACTTTCCTGTCCGTAGCGATGGTGGCCATTTTCTTCCCGTCGTAAGAAAATGCCAGGCTGGTCGGATACGTTTTGTGTTTTGCAAATTCATACAAGTCTGTGTCTGTTTTGTATTCCCAGCTCACGTATTTGGGAAATCTGAATTCATTCCGGAGGCCTGTCCAGTATTCAAGCATTCCCGCTTTGTCGGCGGAGACGATGACTCGGAATTTGGGATTGAGGCGGATTTGGGAGAGCGGAGAGGAGTGCATCTTGTCAAAGACGTGGAGCGGCTGGTTGCTTCCTCGCCCGTCGTAGACAAAGATCTTCCCCGTGGATTTTTCCGAGCAGGCAACTGTGGAGATGGCATCGCCTGGGTTGTAAATCCACTCACTCTGGCCCGGCTGAAAGCTGCACAAAGAAACGCCAAACAAATACTCTTTACATCAGGAGAGAGGCATCTTTGTTAATGCTTTCATGTTGAGATTAAACACACGTTTTACTTCTTATTTAGACTCACCCCAACTTCAGCATGTTGATCATGTCGAAGTTGACAACATCAAAGACTTTCATGGCCTGGTCGTCGCCAACAGAGCACAGAAGAGCGCCTTCAGAACTGACTGCGATGCTTTCTATCACACCTGCACAACAAGGGAACAACAACATGTCACATCTGTTCCTACAACATCGTGTGCAAACACTGAAATTAAATGAAGGAGAGGTGGCAAATTATCAGCTTGCCCATCGATGTAAAAGAAGACGTGCACGGCAAAGATTTTCCAACTGTGAGGCAACTATTAAATTGATCAGTTCATATGTTTAAGATATTAAAAGTTGCACAAATATACTACTTTATTATTCAAAATTCTAGTATAAATATTTCATTACGTCTCGACTTCTCTGTGTCAGTTATATGAATATCTTTGAGTTAAATGATGCTTTTGGTCTTGGGGAAATTAGATCACGTCTTCATAGTAATTTAATAATAACCTTTCGGTGCAGGCCTTCATGCACCTCTGTGAATCCAAACACTTACTGAGATGACTTCGAAAGTGTTTGACAAACTCGATTCCCTCGTCCTCCTTCTTCTTCCAGAACTTGACGTGGCCGTCGGCGCTGGCTGTGATGATGAAGTCTGTCCTGGAAGAAGAATATTGACTTTGATAAGACACAAAAGCAGGAGGGGAAGAGACATATGGTCAAGCCAACTTACTTAAACCCTTCACCATGTCTTTATCATTTTGCTGCTGTTGTGTAATAAGCAGTCAGGTTTATTTTTATAGCAAATTTCATATGACAAGCATGGACTCAATATGCTAAAAATTCAAAGTAGACAAACATACATACAATGAGCCAGCAATTCCAACACACACAGAGCAGCAGCATAAGCCAAAATAAGGAGCAGCAAGGACAGTACAAGGTAGACTGAGTAGATGAAAGCGTCACCCAGCTTTTCAGACTCTGACAGGAAACATTCAACTTTGAATAAGTAGATTATGTTTTGAATATTACAGGTAATAAACAACTGTTCATCTTCCTTTGTAAGGCAGTTTGATGCATGTAATTAAAAAATGCATGGAAGCATTTATATCTTTTACCAATTTGAATAAATGTATATTATTGTCACTGATTTGCGCTAACAAAACTTTTATGCTTGACACTTTGAATTTGAAATAAACACAAGGTACTTGTGTCATAATGACGTGATGACATCCCTCATCCCAGCCCCCTATGCCCTACTGATAATAACATATATAACTTATAAATAATTATTATTATATATTCATATTATTATTGTTTTATTATTATATTATTAATATTATTATTATATATTATCGTTATTATTATTGTATTATTATTATTATATTACTATTATTTTATTATTAATATTATTATTATATTATCATTATTATATTAGTATTATTATTATCATTATTATTATATATTTTTGTATTATATTATTATTATATTGTTATTATTGTTATTATTATATAATTATTGTATTACATTATTATTATATTGTTATTACATTATTATTAATTTTTTTATTAGATTATTATTATTATTATTATTATTGTATTATTATTATTATATTACTATTATTATTATATTGTTATTATTATTATTATTTTATTATATTATTATTATTATTATTATATTTTTATTAGATTATTATTATTATTATTATATATATTTTTATTATATTATTATTATTATATTATTATTATTATTATTATTATTATTATTATTATATTTTTTATTAGATCACTATTATTATTATTATATTTATTTATTAGATTATTATTATTATTATTATTATTATTATTATCAATGGCCAAGTTGACTCGGAAGCATCACTTACTTGGAACAAGCTATGTGTGAGATGACGTCTCTGTGCATGTAGCTCCGTTCATACATCGCAGCCGACGGCAGGTTTTCCAGATAAACTCTTTCAAACTCGAGAACTGAAGAAAAAAACAAAAACATGCCGGAGTTAGCGGGAGTTCAGTTAGCATGTTAGCATAGCTTCAGTGGGAGTCCCGGATGTGTCATAAAGAACTACCTAACTGTCTGAAACTCACCTTTCCTTTTCTTGGCCGAGGAAGCTTCACTCGGCATGGGTCCGACCCACTCCTCCTCTTCTCCGTCTCCATCCTGCTCTGGTTCATCTTCTGCTTTTCGCTTCAGTTCCACATTGTTTTCAGCCGCCGCCATTGCTACAAACCTTCCGTGTGGTCCGCTCCGAATTACGGTACTTCCGGTTGTCGCCTTTGACGTTCTGTTGAGTAAACGTTTAATTAACTTGTTAAAAGTCTAATCCCGTAATGTCAGGAGTCAAGACATTATATACGTGTTTAATTTGTATTCACTATTTATTTCTGTGTCATTTTTTATAGACAAAATATATTAATTTAAAAATGTTTTTTTTTTTTATTAATTGATGCTTTTTATTTATATATTTATGTATAGAAATAATAGTTTTAGGGCTTAAAATATATATATATATATTTTTTGCTGTTGACTTCTGTCTTTATTGTGCTTTAAAATGTCTGCCTAGGTTTAATTTAAGTATTCCTGTTGCGGAACAACACATCTCATTTGTTTCCGAGGACCAGTTGTCCTGGAACACTTGGGGCAAACCAAAATCAACATTAGACAGGGGAGTCAACAATAGTGCTTTGCTTTTTTTTCGTCACCAAAGCGAATTAAAAAGTTGATTTTTTTTTATAGAATAATAAAAAAATATATATAACGCGGCAGCTGAGAAACTTAATTAAACATTACTATTCGGAAATAATAAAATAAATAGTGTATTTCTTTTGATTTCCCACCCCCCCACTTACTCGGAAGTAAACAATGCGCTCACATGTATGGCCAAGATGGCTGTAGACAGAAAAGTATAGTATTTGTAATCTTGTAAAGCAAGCAGATTTATCAAACAGCACCCACAGAGTCAAACTGTTAGGTTTACAACAATAATAGGAAACATTATAGTTTCTTGCTGAAAGGAAAAACACGACGTAAGAGTAAGAATGAGCAATATTTACATCCAGGAGCCGCCAACTAATGGAAAGGTGAGCGCCACTTTCTTCTGTTTCTAACGTTTTCTGGTTTAATTTTGAATCCTACAACTCTTAGGATGTGCAGCAGAACTCCTTAATCGTGCTTGGATGTGATGTTTATACTTAATTTGAAAAAGCAGTTTATTCTAAAGTCATGTGTGTGTCCTGCAGCAGTGTAAGCAATCTGTGTCAAATGAAGAAAAACATTTTAAATATAAATATTAAAGTGTCGTTTAAAGACCACGCGTTGTGATTCTTCTCCACAGGTCCTGTTGAAAACCTCAGCAGGTGACATTGACATCGAGCTGTGGTCCAAGGAAGCTCCCAAAGCATGCAGGAACTTTGTGCAACTGTGCATGGAAGGTAATCCTTCATATCTATTAAAAGATTTGATTTCTCTTGAGTTTGAGGGATTTATTGTGTGTTTAACATGCTGCAGGACTTTAAAAACAGCTGTATCAGTCGCCAAAACAAAACTCTGCATCAGTGTTGATATTTGTAAATATATTGTAGATTTATTTATATTATTATTATTATTATTTTTATTTTTTTAAAGATTTATTTTTGGGCTTTTGTTCCTTCAATGGAGGGATAGGACAGTGGATAGAGTTGGAAATCAGAGAGAGAGAGAGAGAGAGTGGAGCCACAGGCTGGATTCGAACCCGTGGCGCCCCGTATTTATATTATTTCTAATGAACCAAATAACACGTTAATCTCCAGAACACCTCTTGAAACGTGCGTGCAAAGTGTAACCAGACGTGCAAAGAGTCGTAAAAATGTGATTTTATTGTCTGCTACGTCTTCGTCCTCTAGGTTACTATGACGGCACGCCGTTTCACCGAGTGGTGCCTGAGTTCATTGTTCAGGGTGGAGATCCCACTGGAACCGGCACAGGTGGAGAGTCCATCTACGGCCGACCGTTCAAGGTCAGACTCTGACTCCTTATTCAAACCGTCTGAATCAGTCGTAGGAATGTATCGCACATCAAACTCATCACAAGTCTTTCAAAACAAAAAAAAAAACTGGAGTAACTTTTTGTTGATGTTTGTATTTTTACTTTTTAGGATGAGTTTCACTCCAGGCTGCGCTTTAACCGGAGAGGTTTGGTTGCCATGGCAAATGCTGGACCGCATGATAACGGCAGTCAGTTCTTCTTCTCTTTGGGACGAGCAGATGAGCTGAACAATAAACACACCATATTCGCAAAGGTACATTTGAGCACCTTACCTGTGACCTCTGTGTGTTTATTCTGCACAGATATCTGACATGGGAAATGTTTCCATCCTGCGTGGACCCACGTCAGACACACACACACGGAATAATACGACCAGTGACGATTTCTGCATGTTTTTTTCTTAATGTCCAACGCAGGTGACAGGAGACACCGTTTATAATATGCTAAGATTGGCAGAAGTGGAATGTGACGGCGACGAAAGACCTTTGAATCCCCACAAGATTAAAACTACCGAGGTATTGACTCATTCTTCTGCTGGTTTGATCATTTTCAAGTCGTACGTTTTAGTCATATCAAACCTGTTTTATTTCTGTTTCTCTTAACAGGTCCTTCATTCTCCTTTTGATGACATCATTCCTCGTGAAACAAAGAAAGCCAAAAAGGAAAAAGATAAAGAGGAGGGGAAGAAATCCCAGTCGAAAGCCACCAAGTGAGTCATCGGATCACGTCTGTGTGTGTGTGTGTGTGTGTGTGTGTGTGTGTGTGTGTGTGTGTGTGTGTGTGTGTGTGTGTGTGTGTGTGTGTGTGTGTGTGTGTGTGTGTGTGTGTGTGTGTGTGTGTGTGTGTGTGTGTGTGTGTGTGTGTGTGTGTGTGTGTGTGTGTGTGTGTGTGTGTGTGTGTGTGTGTGTGTGTAACTGTGAAGCAGCAACACATGCTCAAGCAGCAAGTGAAAGTTCATGTTCATCAAAAACGTCTTTAAGTGAAAAAAAATGATCAAAACATAAAGATTAATGTGATTTGTTTGTATTATTATTACAATCAAACGTGGAATGAGCAGTCCAGTAATAGTAATAATAATAATGATGATGATAATTATAGTTAGGGCTCGACTGAAATCTGTTTTTAGTTTGAGGATTGCGTCTGCTGATGCTTCTGAATTTTCTAGGAACTTCAGTCTGTTGTCGTTTGGAGAGGAAGCTGAAGAAGAAGAGGAGGTGGCTAATCAAGTCAGCCAGGTACTCGGACACATAACTGCTGTCGTCTCTCTGCTGCTGGCTGCCAGTGAATAAGAGTTCAGTGTCCATTCACTCTCAGGCAGATTATAAAAGAACCAGTGTGTCAAATTAAGGGGGATTTATTGGCAGAACAGGAATATAATCCTCGTGAAAAGGTGTATAATCTCCTAAAAAAAAATTATTATTGGGTTTTTACAAGGATACAGAAGAGTAAAACTAAACACTGCCTTTTCCATGTTTGGAAGAAAAGTATGATCGCAGTTATTTAGCTTTTAAAAACGTGCCTGCATGACCATTACTCCCGCTCTTTTTCACATCGAATATCAAATTAAAGCCAAAGCTCTCAGTAAAATGAACACATGGACATAAATCAGCTTAATAATGGGACTGAATCGTGGTGTGAGAACATTTATTGAAGTGTATTTTAGTTTGAATGTTTTCCCCGTGTCCCGTCTGATAACATAGAGGAGGCATGGTTCATGACCTATACTGCAGCCAGCCAGCAGGGGGAGCTCTTCATTCACCATATTACATTTGGTAGCCATGATCAGTATCCGTTTGGCTCTTCAGTGGAAATGTTAATCTCATTTGAATTATCGTATTAATATGAAATGGAGTTTCAGAAATTGAGATTACTCTGCAGTTAAAAAGGTTTATTGAGCGTTTCTCTGGTTTGTTCGGTTTTTCGCTCAGACACTGAAGGGAAAAAGCAAAAGCAGCCACGACCTCCTGAAGGACGACCCCAGACTGAGCTCTGTTCCAGCAGTGGACAAGTAACTACAATGACTATATATACATAAATATAGATTAAACATCAAAGAAACAACTCCTCCAGCACTGTGTTACCAACCAATATTCTTTCTTAAAAAAAAGGAAAAAGAAGAAGGGAGCATCAGGAGAAACACTCGAGGTATGTCGACCTGTGAAGATGAAAAGTTTGATCTTTTTCCTTTACAGACGTCATTTTCTCTGATGTTATATCTCCTTGTATTCTTCCAGACGGATGATGATGATGACGACGACGACGACGATGATGATGATACAGATGAAGACTCAGAGAGGAAAGCGAAGATAAGGGAGCTCATCAGTAAGAAGCTGCAGAAAGAAAAAGGTGCAGAGCTCAGTGAAGAAGAGCGAGGGAAGAAAAGCAGCCGCAGGTAAAACTGCATTTTTTTTTTTTAATCGTAGTCTCTGCTGTGATTTTTTTTGTCTGACAGATGGAAGGTTTGTTTTGTACATATTGACTTCAGCTTTGGTCACTAACAGCTTCAGAGGTATTTATAAAGCTGTTCTTCCACTTGTAATAAGATGTAACAACCTGGTGGGGGAGCTGTTGAGCTGTGTTGTACAGCGGAAAGCTGACCAGCACATGAAGTAACTCTCTCCACAGAGACAGCAGCCGGGCTTTAGATGGTTCATTTACAACATCTACTGAACACTGATTGAGGGGCTGCTTCATTCAACATTATAACAACATTATTTCATTATTAAGAATTACTAAGTCAATGAAATGTCAACTATTGATGAGAAAATGATCATTTGACAGAGATAAAGGGGACATTTCCAAACGTCTTTCCTCCAACCAATCATCTAATAATCGATCAAGTGTCTTAAAGGACAGCAGCTGATTCTCACTTTAGAGAAACAGACTGAGGTTACGTTTGGCCTTTCTGCTGGATGTGCAAAGGATTTAAGGATTTATCGTTTAATTTCAGCTGTTCGTGGAGTTCATCTTGAAACATAGGGAAGGATTTAGCTCATATTTGGACACTCCTCGACTGTGGGCCGACTAAAAACAATCATTACTGCATCTTTACAGCCGTAAATCCTTCAAGGGCGGTAAAGATTTGTCTTTAGGGTTGTTGTGTCTTTTTTTTTTATAGGTAGTGGTTGGATTCCAGAAGCAGCTTCATGTACAAATGAATCCACCAATTAACTTTGTATTTTACAGCGTGATTGAAAACACGAACGATGTTGAGATCCAGCCCATCGAGTGTTGATC